GTCCCCTAGTAGCGTAGCCAATCAAAATGCAGGATTTGCATTAGTCCACTAGTTGGGTGATACTAATAGGGTATTAGGTCATTGAGTATCGGGGTATTAGAGTATCGGGGTTTTACAGTATTGGTTTATTTGGGTATTAAGACATTAGGGTATTAGGGTATTAGGGTATTTAGGTGTTAGGGTATGAGAGTATCACAATATTAGGGTATAATGGTATCAGAGTATTTGGGTATTAGGGTATCAGGGTATCAGGGTATAAGGGTATCATGGTATTAGGGTATCAAGGTATCAGGGTATTAGGGTATTAGAGTATCAGAGTATTAGTGTATCAGGGTATCAGGGTATTAGTGTATTAGGGTATCAGGGTATTAGGGTATCAGGGTATTAGTGTATCAGGGTATCAGGGTATTAGTGTATCAGGGTATCAGGGTATCAGGGTATTAGTGTATCAGGGTATTACCCTCTCTACAAAGGCCAGTGTTTTTCTCCAGCGTCACAGTATCCAAAATAACCTAAACAACGGCTAGTTGATCAACTACTGACGAACGGTGTATACAAAAACCCCATTTTTAATTATAACGGTTGCAGTCCCTTCCCCATATAAAAACAGGTGTCATATTACACCCCTGTTTCCCCTAACAGCCACCTCTCTTCAAAGGCCACTTTCCTCTGTCCCCAATGTGGCCGTTGGGAAGGGGTTTCAGGGCTCGACACTAACTTTTCAACTAACTAGCCAAGTGGCTAATGACTACTTAAATGTTACTAGCCAAAAAGATTTTTTACTAGCCAAGAGTTCAGGTTGGCTACCTTATTACAGGAAATTTTCGCGACACGTTCAATTTGCGATTTGGGGGTGCGCATATTTCGCGACACTTAAATTCGCGATTTTGCAAAAATTTGTATTTTGAATCACTTTAACTTTGCATTTTTGAGTAACACAAAATTTGTTTCCTTGGCAATGTTACTTAGACATGTCTTTGAATTTAGTATTAAAACTGGCTTTATCAAAGGTACAATAATGTCAAAAGTAATAAAAATGCGATGGCGGGACTATAGGTCAACAGTAACATAATGTGTTTTATGTTCCCGACACTTACTTATTCGCGTAACTTTAATTTCACGATTTTTTCTAAATCGGAGAATTGCGCAAAATTAACGTGTCGCGAAAATTCAGGTAGTCCAATAACAGCAGAATTACTAGCAAGACTTGAAAGCACAACGCAAGCGACTCTCTTTAATACATAATGTTGGTAATTATACTGTACTTAAACTAGTTTAAAAAATGTTCAAGCTCCCGAAAAGACTTTCAGGCCTAGGACTCTGTTTTTTTTCTGAGACTTCCTTGAAAAAATATCGAGACCCCCAAGACGTCACTGTAAAAACTTTCGAGACTTCTTCACAGACAGGCGCCGTAGAAATGTTTCAAAAGCAAAACAACTATCTGAACAATACTGTAAACTGTCGCTGGCGAAATTCGACCGCTAAAAACGGCTGATTTAAATGTCGAAGGAAGTAAATCTTTCTCACCTAATTATTTCTGTAGTGGTAAGTTTGTAAGTATGCATACAGCGACAAATCACCCATGTATTGTTACGCTAAATGAAATGTTATCCCTTTACAGTTCCGCACTATTTTGCGCATGAAAAAAAAAAATCGTAACAAAAAAGAGCATTGATGTGTGCTTTCAGAAAATGCTGTCTCGTTTGTAAAATATTTCTTTCAACAAAAGTAACATGTTCAGTTCCCCGTTTACGTTGCACCCAGCGAAAAGTAGACAAATTTAAATTTGCATACGTGCTGAACCCGGTACCATGATATGTCCACAATGAAATTCTGACCTTGTTTCCGAGAAAAGTGTTAATTTTGTGTTTGTCTTCCTTGAGGGAGACAGACACTAGTTCACCAATTTCATTTTGTTGACCAGCCAAAGTGGCTAGTGGAAATCGAAAACGCACTAGCCAAAACTAAATTTCTACCAGTCTGTGGCTAGTTGGCTACCGTTAGTGTCCAGCCCTGGGTTTTACTGTACATTTTCTTCTTTATACTTTACTGCAGCTACAAAGAGCTGGGAATTTTATTCTAATGTTATTTATTGTGGTCTGATTCTTTCACTTTGTTTTTAGTGATTGCAAACCCAACAACTACAAATTCTCAGGTGAATGCAGTACACATGTATTTTGTATGAGCTTAGGCCCCGTACCCACTATACCGGAGAAATCTGTAAACGGAGCTTTATTTCTACGGTTAGGCCTGGCTACCGTCCACACTAATCCGACACGAAANTTATTTCCACGGTTAGGCCTACCGTTCACACTAATCCGTCACGAAAACGGAGCTTTTTGAAACGCTCTTCAAACCGGAGGAATTTGAAAACGCCGGCTTTGTGTTTTAGTGTGGACGGAAGACATTTTAAGGACGGAGCTTTTCGAAAACGATAACGTGTTGATAGTCGTGTGATTTTCCTTCCCGAGTTTTCCTCAAACGTACATTCAAAATGACCGGTTATTGTTGTGTTTTCAAATTTCTCCGGCGTAGTGTGGACGGAAGACATTTGATGCGTTTTCAGAGTGAAAACGACGTTTTCAATTTCTCTGGCGTAGTTTAATTGAGAACAAAGAGGTCCAGATTGAGACTGATTTTACGTCGT